GGAGGTGTGGGCTGAGCTGTTTCCACCTGCTTTCCAGGTATGGTTTTCTAATCGAAGGGCCAAATGGAGAAGGGAGGAGAAGCTGCGGAACCAGCGGAGGCAGGCCAGCAACACGCCCAGCCACATCCCCATCAGCAGCAGCTTCAGCACCAGTGTCTACCAGCCCATCCCACAGCCCACCACCCCGGGTAACGGCAGCACAGGGCTCGCGATGGCGCCCCGTAAGCTGGCGCCGGCCCCGACCCCTCACCCTTACCCTCACCCTGACCCGCTCTTCTCTCCCCCTGCAGTTTCCTCCTTCACATCTGGCTCCATGCTGGGCCGAACGGACACGGCCCTCACCAACACCTACAGCGCTCTGCCCCCCATGCCCAGCTTCACCATGGCCAACAACCTGCCTATGCAAGTAAGCGGCCGGCCGGGGGAGGCGTGAGGGGCATGGGCCTGCAAGCCTCACCAGCTGTGGGTGACCCGGAAGCCTAACTTCCTGCAGTCAGTCTGAGCAGTCAGGTCTCAGCCAGGCCATGCAGTCTCCTAGCTGATGGATTGATTGACTTGTGCCCTTAAAATTAAAATCCGACCTGTCCAGTCAAGTGAGTCTGCCTTTTATCATAACGTGGACTTGGCAGTGCTGGTGGCGGTGGGGCCTGTTGGGCATCCAGGGAGACTTGCGCCACAGTAGAAACATGGCCAGCACGTTATGAGGCAGTAGGAGGTTCGTGTTGAAAAGTTGGGCTTGTGTGAATGTGTTCTAGGAGTGAATATATAATCCATGTATGTATGGAGAGTTGGGACATTAATTAGGGTATGTGAGATAAACTAGTTAGGAAGAAAGAAATGAGGGTTAGAGATGGGATTTAGCGGGCCGGCATGTAGCGAGGTGGTTACGGTACTAGATTCACATGGCTGACTTTGAGGGGTGAGTCCCTGACCTAATGGCTGAAAAACATGCTGGGTGTGTATGTGTCCTCTGTTCTGAGAGGGGAATGGAGGAGAAGGGACTGCGGTGTGGCCATGCCCCTGGGGGGGTGATCTCTCACTTTCCCTCTCACTGTCTCTCTAGCAAGCTTACACGCCCTATGGCAAAAATCAAGGGATTAAATAAATGGGGTTTATGTGCGCAGTAAGATCCACGCGCTAAATGGAAAAGCTAGCTTTCGCTGCACGACAGCAGGAGAGGGCTGGAGGGCATTTGCCGGAGGCTAGGTGTGTCTTCACTGAGTCCTAGGAAGAGCCGGTGGTGCGCCTAGCTGCCTGGCCTGCTTGGCGCTCTCCCTCGGTATAATAACCTGCTCGTGCTCGCAGTTCTGTCCCCAGTCCGATCGGCCCCCACACTGCCTGGCGCTGCACTAGGCTACCCCCCCACCCCCCGGGTGAGTGCGAGGCAGCTGGGGTGTACTTGGCCTTTCTTGCCGAAGGCTTCTTGATGGAGGTAACCTGTCTTCCGGCAGGCCTTCTCCAGGGCTTCCCCGGGGCTCCTGTTTGTGTACCGATGAGCCGTGTGAGCCCGGCCGGGTGAGCCCGGCTGGCGTGAGCTGTGCCGAAACTGTTCTGGGGTCACACACAGTGTTTACTCTCCCCGAATGTCTTTTGCCGAGTCTCAGATCCGAATAATAGCAAATGTTTCACAGTCTTCAGACCAGTGCAGACGCACCTAGACAAGCAGCTTCAGAATTATTCACGTTTATTTTCATTGCATCTGGGGATTATTGGCCACAGAGCGATTGATGCGAATTGGGGGATTAACAGCCCTTTACTTGGTGTTGCTAGAACTGCCTTGGCATTTTGCAGAAGTCAGGGTGCCTGAGGAAGTGATTGGAGGAATTGGAGACAAACGAGAGCTGAGATTCTGGCAGGCCCCCGAGGCCTGCTTGCCTCTTTGAACTTGATGCTGGCAGTCACCGTCTGACTTTAATAAGGCCACCGAGAGTCTCGTTCAGTTTTCGTTATTGTAGCAACATCCAGGTTTCCGTGAGGATCACAGAGTGTGTCTGAGACGATTAGAGGGGGGAGATGGCAGCTCCTGTTACGTGAGGGCTGTCACACAGACGTGGCGTGTGGGGTCAAGTGACTTGAAACTCTGACTTTTAAATTACACAAGTTAATTATATAATTCAGAAGTACGTGTATTTGGGGGCTGGACTGTGGTGTGGAGGTTGATCGCGACTCTCTGCGAGGCCGAGCCTCAGGAGGAGGTTCTGGATTCATGTGCCCACAAGCCGGGCTGGCTGAGGCTGGGGGCAGACCACGGCGTCTGGACCCTGTTGAGTCTCTCTCTCTCGCTCGCTCATGGAGAAATAAACGTGCGATCTTTTAGAAACTACATGCATTCATAAGGTATAGAGAAAATAAAAATGATCGATGATTTTCCCATTCAGGAAAACTTCCCTCTGACTGTTGGGTGGGTCCATCTGCTCACCCTATTGACCAGAATCAACCATTTTGCATGGGGAGGGGGTGAACTCTCTCTGAGAATGTGAATCTTGAGATAGTAAACATTTCCCCAGCTGTTTCTTCCTTTTTTGTTCTTTTGGAGAGATTTTTGCTATAGAGTGCGTGCACTCTCCAGAAAGACAGAGAGAGACAAAGAGACAGAGAGCGAGAAATCACCCTCCAGGGGGGATGGCCATACTGCAATCCCTTCTCCTCCATTCTCCTCTCAGGATCTTGGGCACGCACACACATGCACCTGGTGTGAGTTTAAGCCACCAGGTCCAGGACTTGAACCGCGGTCGGCTACATGGGAGTTCAGCGACATAGCCATTACGCTAACTGCTGCTCCCCCCCCATTTTTAAAATAGATTTATTTATTTAATTTCACTTGTTCCTATTATTTTTCAGTTTGACCAGAGAGAGAGAGAGAGAGAGAGAGAGAGAGAGAGAGAAAGAAGCAAGCTGCCAGGTCTGGGACTTAAACTATAGTCGACCATTCAGGAATCCAGCACTCTAACCACCACGCCACCTGTCAGCCCCTCTCCAGTTGTTTCTGACATTATACCTCTATTAATTCACCCCAAATTTGCTGTGCTGACAGAGATCCACCAGTTCTGTCCCAGCTCTGAGTATTTCTTTTGTAGCTAAGAGAAAGTGTTACCTCTTCACTCTACACCATTCTGAATGCTTAGCAGAGCACAATTTTGTGGGTAAAGCTCATTCTGGATTTGGGTGTGTTAGGATGGCATAGTGAATACCAAGACGGGGTTGGGCTACGTTTTCCCCTACTTCTAACCGCTTCACCTGATGCTCTGCCTCTTCAAAGAGACCCTCACCCACGAGTGTGGCTGTTGAAACTTCCCAGGCCCAGGAACCCGACCTTACAGGGTTCTTCCCCTGCGCTCTGCCCAGAGCCTGCGATGCAGGATTTGGGGAGGCAGAGCCCCCTGAGTGGATGGATGGATCCAGATTTGCAGGGAGAGGAGTTTTTGTTTGTTTGTTTGTTTGTTTGCTATACAGTGTGTGTGCTCACGAGAGAGAGAGAGAGAGAGAGAGAGAGAGAGAGAGAGAGAAAGAGTGAGGTATCATCCCCCAGGGGAATGGCCACACCACAATCCCTTCTCTTCCCGTCTCCTCTTGGGATTTTGGGCATACACAGCCCAATGTGATTTTTTTTTTTTTTTGAGAGATTTTCACTGTAGGGCGCGTGCGCTCGCCAGACAGACAGAGAGAGACATAGAGACAGAAAGCGAGAAATCACCCCCCAGGGGGGATTTTTTTTTCGCAATCCCTTCTCCTCCATTCTCCTCTCGGGATCTTGGGCACGCACGCACACGCGCCCGGTGTGAGTTTTAAGCCACCGGGTCCGGGACACGAACCGTGGTCGACTACGTGGGAGTCCAGCGACATAGCCATTACGCTAACTGCTGGCTCCCAGCCCAATGTGATTTTCAAGTCATTGGGTCTGGGACTTGAACGGTGAGGTTGGCCCTGTGGAATCCAGCACCTTAACCACACTACCTGCTGCCCCCAACCCCCAGGGGGTGTATTTTTATTTTTTTAAGAAACATTTTATTTAACTCTATTTTAATTTGACCAAAGAGAGAGAGAGAGGGAGAGGGAGAAAGTGAGAAAGCAAGCTGCCAGGTTTGGGACTCGAACAGTGGTTGGCCCTGTGGGATTCCAGCACCCTTAACCACCATGCCACCTGCCGACCCCAGGAGATGTGTTTTAATGGAGGTGCTCATGCTTCAGGTTTGGTAAAGACATTGGCAGAAGAAAAGGACAAAAGCAGACACACATCCCGTAGACTTGGGAGCAGTGGGGTGGGTCTAGCTGGCACTGACCCATCCGGATGCAGTCTGAGTGTGCCCTTTCAGGAGTTTGATCTGTAGATGACTTTAGCGGTGGCCGAACCAGGCCTGCTGGAGCCCCACTCTGAGCGTTCCCGTTACCGCGGAGTTCTGGTGCTTCACACTCAGGCGTCCGCATCGACTCCGCTGCGGGTGTGCTCCTGGGGACGGGCCCTGGGTGGCTGTGTCGTGTGCTCCTCTAACCAGTGTGCCTCTCCTGCAGCCCCCGGTCCCCAGCCAGACATCCTCCTACTCTTGCATGCTGCCCACCAGCCCTTCGGTGAACGGGCGGAGTTACGACACCTACACGCCCCCGCACATGCAGACCCACATGAACAGCCAGCCCATGGGCGCCTCGGGCACCGCCTCCACAGGTGAGGCGCCTCTGTGGCGTGGGGCCAGCCTGCGAGGCTCTCTTGCCCGGTGACCTCTCCACCCAGCGCTCGCAAACCTCCTGGCCTTGTCTCTGGGGGAAGCAGATTGCAAAGGGAAATTCAATTAAGCTAGTTAGTACCTTGACCTCATCCAGGAAAAACAAGTTGTTTTTTCTGGATTTGGTCACAGGGGCTGTGTGTGAGGATGAGGCCTGAGACTGTAAGTTTTCTGTGGACAGATCAATAGCGAAGCCCTACAGGGAGTGGGGAGTGTTGGGGGAGCGGGGACCACAGCTGCTGGGTGGGTGCCCTGGGGAGACTTCGGGCCCTCCTCGCTCCTCTGCGACTTCCCTGGTAACTGAGAAAGTGCATGAAGGTCTTCCAGAGATGGTGTATACCCGAACTTCCCAGCATACAACCAAATGGAGGGGTTTTTCCTTCTCTTTGGGGCCAGGGGGACTTGAGATTCAAGAGGTTGTATCAAGATGTCTAGTTTCTGAAGGTCCCACTGTTGCTTGTAACAGCTGGAATATTTTTACTGCAGTAAAAGAAGCTAGGGAGTAGCAGGGATTTCTTGTAGAAGCTTGTCACCCCCAGGCCTGAGTCTCAAAGGAAGTCTCTGCTACATCCATGGCTATTTCTGTCATCCCCTTCCAGGACTTATTTCTCCTGGCGTGTCGGTTCCAGTCCAAGTTCCCGGAAGTGAACCTGACATGTCTCAATATTGGCCAAGATTACAGTAAAAGGAAGGAAAAAAAAAAAAAAGCACAAGGAAACACCGTGTTAATCCAGTCAGTGACTCTGGACACGACAGTTGGGCGTTCAGCAAAGGCAGGAAACTGGCTGTTCAGCGCGTCCGTTCTGCAGCCACGTCCCGTAGCGGACCACTGGGGACGGACTCGCGAGGACCTTTGCATAAGAAGGCACCTATCAGTCGGAACAAATCTTCATTTTGGTATCCAAACTTTTATTCATTTCGGTGTATTATTTGTAAATGGGCATTTGTATGTTATAATGGGAAAAAAGAACAACGTACACGGATGGATGTGTGATCTCTGTTGATCATGACGTTGTTTAAAAACAAAGGAAACCATGATCGACAAACTCTGCCACGAACGAAGAGTTTTATCAAGCTATATCGAGTACTTCTACCCACCTGTTCATAGTTTATGGACCGATGTTCCAAGTTTGTATCATTCCTTTGCATATTATTAAACCTGGAACCACATGCACTAGATTTATGTCAGAAATATCTGTGGGTTTTCCAAAGGTTGTTAACAGATGAAGTTTATGTGCAAAAAAGGGTAAGATATAAATTCAAGGAAGAAAAAGTTGATAGCGAAAAGGTAGAGTGTGTCTTCGATATAATCCGGTTTGTTTTCTGTCAAAATGTAAGTATTTGTCTTCCCTAGAAATCCTCAGAATGATTTCTATAATAAAGTTAATTTCATTTATATTTGACAAGAATACTCTATAGATGTTTTATACACATTTCCATGCAATCACATGCGTTCCTTTTTGGCAGCGGAAGTTAATTGTTCTTAGATGTAGTTGTGTGTTACTGTTCACAGTCCAATCATTTTGTGCATCTAGAATTCATTCCTAATCAATTAAAAGTGCTTGCAAGAGTTTTAAACTTAAGTGTTTTGAAGTTGTTCACAACTACATATCAAAATTAACCATTGTTGATTGTAAAAACCATGCCAAAGCCTTTGTATTTCCTTTATTATACTATTTTCTTTTTAACCTTATAGTGTGGTGTTACAAGTTTTGTTTCCATGTTAGAGTGACGCTCTAAACCAGCGGTTACTTTCATACACACTCAATTTTACATTCTGATGTTCCTTAAAGAAATAATTTTCAATGAGAAACGTGGCAGGGAAAAAAATCCCACTTCCAGCAGTGTGTAGCGCGGTGCCCACTTACACCCACAACACGTGGACAAAAGGGTAACATTTCCCAGTTAGCCATTTAATTCAAAAGCTCAAAGTCTAGAAATAATTTAAAAATGCAACAAGCTATTAACCAGGGATTGTGCTTTGAATCCGGGCTGGCGTTTTCCATCTGGGCAGACCTCCACTGTCGGCCTGTTTCAACAATGATTTCACTGAAGTAGATTCTTCAACAAGACTCTCTGAAAGCTGCCTCTCTCCAATAGGCCTTCTCCCGTCTGTCTCCCTCCCCTTAGCACAAGAGGCATCGCTGCTGCGTTGGCCCACTACAGCTGTCCCCATTCGAGCCCTGCTTTCTGCGCCTTGTGGAGGGGTGGGGGTGGGGCGGGGGACGTTCATGTCAAGGAATAATGCGCACAGACACATCAACAGAAGACAACAAAGCGGACCGTGACTGGCCGGTGGGAATTAAAGGCCTTCCGTCATTGGCAGCTCAAGCCAAACATCCCCAAATCTGTGAAGCTGGGCCCGTTGTCGGCCAGTTAAAGTGGCGGCACGCCTGGCAGGAGTGCTCGAGCCCAAGCAAAGGATGGAAAAAAGGCTGTGTTGAGTCAGAAAGGCCTGAGACTGTGATTTCCGCCTGTTCCATGGGACACAGAAGTCAACGTAGATAAGTTTTCTTCTGCAAACTTCAGTAAAAGGGCTGGGGGTTCTGGCAGTCTGGATTAAAATGCACATGTGGAAACCTCTGGACACAAAGACACACCTCCACTAAGTTGTACTAATTTTTTTTTTTTTTTAATTCCCAAAGGCAAATGATTAGAAATATAGCAACTGCAGAGTTTAAACAAAACCTAGTTCGACACCGGTTCCAAGTTAAGGGATTGCTGTGAGCAGGTCGTTGAGACTCGCCGTGCTGCATGCCGGGGCCTCATCATTGAGTTCTACCAGGGCTGCTGCACCTTCGTGACACCTTCCCAAGGTGACGCAGCATGTGCGGGTGCGTGTCGTTCCCTCTGTGTCACCTGCACTGCATGCGGGCACACTTCTGCAGCGGGTGCACGCACACACGTGCCGTCGGTACGACTGCTCCGCAGACATCGCCACCTCCTTTCACAGCCTGCATTCCTGAGGGACGTGTGCTGAGGACCCCAGCTGAGAGGGCTCTGGGGGGTGCGTGTGGCAGCTGCTGGCTGGCTCTTCTGGCCTGTAAAAAGGGACCGTTTCCAGCTGGTTGTGATTTGGGCCAGGGTCAGGCAGCCAGTCCTGGGCCAGAGCTGTTGTGCAGGGAGCGCGGGAAGAACTGGGTGTGGCACGCGGGGTGCGAGAGTGGGGGTGGAAGAGGCTGCGTTGACAGAGCACGAGGTCTGCCTGTGTGCACTTGGGCACGTACATGAGTCCTCCGAGGGTCATGGTCGCCAGGGCATGGTGGCGTGGCCTGGTTCATCTGAAGAAGAGGCTGCTGAGCTGCAGAAGCCCTGTGGTCCAGCAGGCCTGGAATGGCTGCCGCCTTCGGCCCACACCCGGGGAGGTGAGCTGTCCTGCATGGCCTCAGGCACTCTCAGGCCGCCTGCCGGCAGAGCTGGAGAGCTGGCCTCTCGCTCGCTCTTGCTGAACTCATTTACTTTTTGTTTCCTTGCTGATCAGTGTGTTTATTAGTTACCGAAGGGCACCCACAGTGCGTAGGGGTGCCGTCTAGGACGGAGGCTGTGGTGCTCAGACAGCCTAGACTCGCTCTCCGGGGTGCCTGTGGTGGGGAGCCAGGGCACTATCAGACCCAAATGTCTGGCTTATGAACTTTCAAATTACTCTGAGTGAGAGATGCTTTTACTGCAATGAATTTCCAGAATATTTCTCCCCTGAAACTGAGCCTCCTAACTCTTGAATGGTAAACAGCTAACTTCTAAATATGGCTCACAAGACCATTTCTTACCATCAAAAAAATTATAACTAGGCTTTCTACAATTAATTCATAGACTAGTAAGATTCAGCTTTGTTCTAGACTGTCATCTTAGGGTGGTGTCTACACTTTTCTGTATTTCTTTTTGCTCTGAGTCTTAATATTAACAAGCTTTTTTTAAAGAAAAAGTCTCTTCTATGTTTGTCTAAACACAAATTCTTTTCTCACAAACAAACTTCATCTTTATACATATTTTACATATATGTGTGTGTGTGTATGTGTGTGTATATATATATATATATATATATATATATATTTAACCTCAGTTCTGAATAACTTAATTCAGTTTTTAAGTCTGAAGTGTAAGTATTTAGGGCTAGAACTTCTTCGTGTTCATGTTGGTGAGGGTGACTGTCGGTGGACAGCAGTGACAGCGGTCTTAGAACGTCTGAAATGGTTTACCCAAATGAGCAGAGTCCCCACTCCACTCTGGTTGTGTGGATGAGCATGCACATGCAAGCACACGCATGTGTGTCTTCTTGGCTAACGTTAAATGGTAGGAAACTGATGGCAGAGTGCCGCTTCCCTTTGAAGTAGTTTTATTTTGCCTGGCGTTGGTGTCCGAAGATCCTGGAGGTGGAGATAAATACATACGCAGAATCGAGGAAGGCCGAAGCGAGCGTCGTTGGAACGACTAGTGTGAAATGCACGTCTTAGGACCTGGGCCTGGGAGGACAGCAGGATGCAAATATGGAGCTCCCAGGAGAGGAGGGCAAACCTCGTGTGAGACAGGAACCCCACCCTGGGTTTTGAGAGTCATAGATCAGGGACATTTAAGAGATAAGCAGACCCTTCAGATACTGTGTTTGGTGTTGCTTTTGAGTATCTGTATCTTTGAGTCCAACTGATAATTAAAAAAAAACCTGTTAAGAGAGTGTATATTTCACACTGTATCAAAATGGTGTCTATCCCTACCTTGGTAGTTCTACTGAAGACCAGTATTTTTATGTAGTAAGTTGTTAGCTAATGGGTGACAAATAATGCTTCCAGAAGGAAGAAGGACATATTTTTAAACTCTTTTTTTAAAAGAATTATTTTATTTAACTTTATTTATTTACTTACTTATTTTAATTTTGACCAGAGAGGTACAGAAAGAGAGAGAGAGAGAGAAAGAGAGAGAGAGAGCGAGCAAGCTGCCAAGTCCGAGACTTGAACCGCAGTCGGCCATGTGGGAGTCCAGCGCCCTTAACCACCATTCCACTTGCTGGCCCCAGAAAAACACATTTTTAAAGTGGGTTTTTAATCAGAGGAGACCAAAAATATATATCTCTCTCCTGTGGCTTATTTTTACAAAGCCTGCCCAGTGAACCAGAAACACAAAACGCTTAGGTCTGATTTTCTGGGAACGTCAGGTACTCTTACTGTTTAAAATACACTTTTTCTGAGTTTGCAAAGTTTCTTTTTTATTCAAAATAAGATTTCAAATGTGCACATTCAATTTTCATAGTATTTATCTACTCAAAAGCACCTACTAACTAGTAACTGGCTCTCGATTTCGTGGACAGGGGAGCCAGGGGGTAGTCAGTGACCTCCTGAGGGTGTGACAAGAGCTCACACCTGACAGCCTCCTGTCTCCTGTCCAGGCAGAGGTTTCGTGACTGCCCCCGGTGTGTTTGTAGGAAGTGAATCCCAACACGGTAAGAAAACGGCTAGCGGCGTTAACTCAATACCTGCTTGGAGTGCGCATCTGAATCGGTTCAGGCGGCTCGTGCAGCCCTGAGAGGCCAGCCAGGCTCTGTGGGCACCTGCACGTGTGGTTATTAACTGTGGGTGCCATCGAGCTTTTTGAAGTTGCTTTAAATCTTAAAAGCACCTTTGCTTAATATAAAAGCCCTTTAATTTTAACTGACAGATCAATTCTGAAACTTTATTTTGAAAAGAAAATGGGGAAGAATTTGTGTCTTTAGAATTAAAAGAAACGAAAAAAATAAACCAGACGTTCTAAAAAAAATAGAAGGAGAAACCTGATTTTCAGTGCTAATGAAATAGCGGGTGACAAAATAGTTGTCTTTTTGATTTTGATCACAAAAAATAAACTGGTGGTGACAGGATATGATGGAGAGATTTGACATCCTGGCAAATCACTGTCATTGATTCAATTATTCTAATTCTGAATAAAAGCTGTATACAGTATGTGTTTATGCTACAGTGGTTTTTTTTTTTAAAGTGACTGACGTTCATCATATTGCTTAGACAGTTATATATATATATATTTAACCTCAGTTCTGAATAACTTAATTCAGTTTTTAAGTCTGAAGTGTAAGTATTTAGGGCTAGAACTTCTTCGTGTTCATGTTGGTGAGGGTGACTGTCGGTGGACAGCAGTGACAGCGGTCTTAGAACGTCTGAAATGGTTTACCCAAATGAGCAGAGTCCCCACTCCACTCTGGTTGTGTGGATGAGCATGCACATGCAAGCACACGCATGTGTGTCTTCTTGGCTAACGTTAAATGGTAGGAAACTGATGGCAGAGTGCCGCTTCCCTTTGAAGTAGTTTTATTTTGCCTGGCGTTGGTGTCCGAAGATCCTGGAGGTGGAGATAAATACATACGCAGAATCGAGGAAGGCCGAAGCGAGCGTCGTTGGAACGACTAGTGTGAAATGCACGTCTTAGGACCTGGGCCTGGGAGGACAGCAGGATGCAAATATGGAGCTCCCAGGAGAGGAGGGCAAACCTCGTGTGAGACAGGAACCCCACCCTGGGTTTTGAGAGTCATAGATCAGGGACATTTAAGAGATAAGCAGACCCTTCAGATACTGTGTTTGGTGTTGCTTTTGAGTATCTGTATCTTTGAGTCCAACTGATAATTAAAAAAAAACCTGTTAAGAGAGTGTATATTTCACACTGTATCAAAATGGTGTCTATCCCTACCTTGGTAGTTCTACTGAAGACCAGTATTTTTATGTAGTAAGTTGTTAGCTAATGGGTGACAAATAATGCTTCCAGAAGGAAGAAGGACATATTTTTAAACTCTTTTTTTAAAAGAATTATTTTATTTAACTTTATTTATTTACTTACTTATTTTAATTTTGACCAGAGAGGTACAGAAAGAGAGAGAGAGAGAGAAAGAGAGAGAGAGAGCGAGCAAGCTGCCAAGTCCGAGACTTGAACCGCAGTCGGCCATGTGGGAGTCCAGCGCCCTTAACCACCATTCCACTTGCTGGCCCCAGAAAAACACATTTTTAAAGTGGGTTTTTAATCAGAGGAGACCAAAAATATATATCTCTCTCCTGTGGCTTATTTTTACAAAGCCTGCCCAGTGAACCAGAAACACAAAACGCTTAGGTCTGATTTTCTGGGAACGTCAGGTACTCTTACTGTTTAAAATACACTTTTTCTGAGTTTGCAAAGTTTCTTTTTTATTCAAAATAAGATTTCAAATGTGCACATTCAATTTTCATAGTATTTATCTACTCAAAAGCACCTACTAACTAGTAACTGGCTCTCGATTTCGTGGACAGGGGAGCCAGGGGGTAGTCAGTGACCTCCTGAGGGTGTGACAAGAGCTCACACCTGACAGCCTCCTGTCTCCTGTCCAGGCAGAGGTTTCGTGACTGCCCCCGGTGTGTTTGTAGGAAGTGAATCCCAACACGGTAAGAAAACGGCTAGCGGCGTTAACTCAATACCTGCTTGGAGTGCGCATCTGAATCGGTTCAGGCGGCTCGTGCAGCCCTGAGAGGCCAGCCAGGCTCTGTGGGCACCTGCACGTGTGGTTATTAACTGTGGGTGCCATCGAGCTTTTTGAAGTTGCTTTAAATCTTAAAAGCACCTTTGCTTAATATAAAAGCCCTTTAATTTTAACTGACAGATCAATTCTGAAACTTTATTTTGAAAAGAAAATGGGGAAGAATTTGTGTCTTTAGAATTAAAAGAAACGAAAAAAATAAACCAGACGTTCTAAAAAAAATAGAAGGAGAAACCTGATTTTCAGTGCTAATGAAATAGCGGGTGACAAAATAGTTGTCTTTTTGATTTTGATCACAAAAAATAAACTGGTGGTGACAGGATATGATGGAGAGATTTGACATCCTGGCAAATCACTGTCATTGATTCAATTATTCTAATTCTGAATAAAAGCTGTATACAGTATGTGTTTATGCTACAGTGGTTTTTTTTTTTAAAGTGACTGACGTTCATCATATTGCTTAGACAGTTTAAAAAACCTAGTCTTTGTTTTCTACAATGTTGTCAAGAACAAATAAAGTATAATTTGTGGTGTATTAAAAGCAAACTGCTTAAAAATGCTAGTTATAACTGCTTCAAAATATTCTACTATATTTGAAAATGGATTTTGGAAATTCAGTTTCTCCCAAAGGATGTTGAACACCTTTTTAAGAACTGAGACTTAATGGAAGTATGCAAGTTACTTTTTATCCAATATTTGTCAAAAACTTTGAGAAGAGGGAGCTGTGACTCAGAAGCTGGTGCTTACATGAAACCTGGTTCAATATGCAGCACACCTCAGAAGGCGGGCTTAGAACGTCTTCAGCTAATGTGGAATTACGTATCAACCGAAAGTTTACGTGATGCGATGGAAATCTGAGAGAGTTTCTATTCTCCCCCTTTGTCCCCGACTGTCCTGTAAAAATCTCGCATTAGCTTCAGTACCTGTCTTTTCCTGGTGCCCTAGCGGTCATGTGGCTGCCAGTCTGAATTTCAATCCTGAAGCATGTCTGTTGACATCATTTTATAGTGCTGACTTCGATGGTTTAGAATTGCTAGACGGAAGACTGGCAACGTCCTTTTCTACTCTATCACTCAAGTTCTTTAAATTTGTTAAGTGCTATGGCCGACTAACTGTCTTTAATGGAGTCCGAATCCTAAGATATTATTTGTCTTCACAAACGGAATAATAAGATACATAAATGCAAATTTATTTTATATATTTAGCAAACAAATTTGTCATTAAACAAAACCCCTTGGCATTTTTGTAGGCAAGAGGTTTTTTCAGAAATAAAGCAGAAGTGTTTTCAAACATAACCCTGTATTCTGCAACGTGTCACAGCTGCCCACGGTAACACGCTTCATGGTGCCCCTGGGGGCCTGAGCACGCGCACGCTTCTGACCTCTGGAAAGAACCTTGATTTTTTTTTTTTTGACATTTTGAGCATTTACTTGGAAATAAAGTGCTGTATTTTCTCTAAACATGTCATAACACAGACTTTTAAAATCAGAGTGTATCTGCGGTACTATTTCTGTCTAAGAAGTTGGTTAGAAAAAGAAGGCTGGCAGCCCCATTCTGCCACCCTGTTTTCTCACGGATTGCAGGGTCAAATCATTAAGGGAAATATTTACACACGCTATTAGCAGTCGTAATTAGAGTGTCAGATAATCCTGCGTGCGACGACTAAGGAGGGCCCCTAGAAGTCCAGGTGCTTCTTGCCTCTGGCCATCATGCCACAGCCTGGGCCCAGCAGCTTGGAGTCTGCCAGATCCGGTTTGCTTGAGCGGTT